TTGGCAATCTGTTGCTAAGACCTCTCGTTGTGTTGTGTATAAAGAAAACGTATATAAAATATTGATGCATTGGTAGAAGACCCCTGCAGTGCTTCATGCGATCGACCCAAATTTGTCTGACAAGTGCTGGAGGTGCATGGGAGGAGTAGGTACCTTGGCACACATCTTTTGGTTTTGTCCACAGATTGCGGGTTATTGGGCTATGGTTAAAATGGTTTTGGAGCAAGTACTCAATGTTGCTCTTCCCCTAGACCCGCTACACTATTTTTTGGAGCTACCTACCCTTTAGGGGTATCGTTAAGCGGTCTAGGAGGTTGGTAATACATATTCTGACGGCTGCTAGAGGGGTGATACTCTATGACTCTGGAAATCAGTTTATGTCCCCACTCTATCTCATCTCTTAAGAGCGATCTCTGAAATCAGGGAAATGGAATATCTTACAGCTCTAGTGGGTGAATATTCAGGTAATTTCCGATCTATTTGGGAACTTGGGGATCAGTCTCCCTTTGGTAGACTTCCTTTATCTCCCCCTCTCCCCCCTTATATAGTCCAGACACCTCTATATGTACCGAGCTTCTGACAAATTTTGTAACACAATGATATGCAGACCTATGTTGTTTTGCGTCTTTGTATTGTACAGGTTAGCATGCTGTCAATTATGTTCACATTTCTTTTGTTTTAGTTTTCTTTTATGTTGATTGTGGTTTTCTTTTATTGCAATGTTTACACCTAAAGTGTTGTTGGAACTCAAATGGGCAAAACGCAGCAAAAGCATGGCAAAAATGCAGCAAAATCGCACTACATGCTTTTCTGCAGTGTTTCCATTGAAGTCTGTAGAACCAAAAATGCAACTTTTTTTGTGTTCAAAAAAATCCCTGACCCTTTCCAAAAAAACGCACTGTGAAAACACAGAGATGTGAACGTGTCCCATAGGAAATCATGTTAAATGGACTGCAGTGCATTTCTGCAAAACGCTGCAGAAAAGGTTTAGTTGTGCACCTAGGGGAAGGAAAAGAATTAATAAATAGTGCAGTTTTCAAATATCTTCTAATTTGTCTAGGACTGGGGGGCTTAACAAATCCAATAAACAAGCTAACCTTCTGATGCAAAAAGAAATCTCCAAGGACCTCAAGATTTCATTGCAGGATTTGCAGTTAACTCAGTTAGTGACAAAGTGCATGTATCTACGAAGGCAGGCCGATTTACTCTGCATGAGAGGTATGCCAACAAAGAGAACATTAAAGCAAAGCTACAGTTTGCCAATGAACTAAAGGCAAATACCAGTTGTTGGCCACCATTACAGTAGATATGTTTGGCTCAAACCAAAGACAGCGTTTCAGGAAAAGAGCCTCATGATGTGAAGCATTGTGACGGAATCATAAGGCTTGGAGTTGTTTTGCTGTTTCAGTGCTTGGGCAGCTTGCAGTAAGTGAGGTAATATGAATTCTGCACCATATTAAAATGTGTTTGATTGGAATGTGAGGCCATCTGTCCAAAAGTTTAGGTTGACCTGGAAATAGATTTCTTGACACCCAATGATCATAAACACATTAGCAATTCCACCAATGATGGGCTCAAAAAGAAGAAATTAAGGGTTATGGACCTGCTTATTTAAAGACCACCTTTGAATGATATTGAAATGCTGTGGGGGATTGTAAATAGGCAGTTCATTCAGTTCAAGAAAAGGAATTTTGCATGGAGGAGCGACCAAAGGTTTTATACTGAGTCGATGTCAGAAACTGGTGGGCATTTATGAAAAATGCCTACTAGAAGATATTTCTGCTAAAGGAGGCAATACCAGTTTCTGAGGCCAAGTGTGTGCTTACTTTTTCCACAGTACACCATTACATCTGTTGATAAGTACTATACAGGTGATACTCGAAAAATTTGAATATCGTGCAAAAGTTCATTTATTTCAGTAATGCAACTTAAAAGATGAAACTAATATATGAGATAGACTCATTACATGCAAAGCAAGAGATAGTTCAAGCCGTAATTTGTCATAATTGTGATGATTATGGCTTACAGCTCATGAAAACCCCAAATCCACAATCTCAGAAAATTAGAATATTGTGAAAAGGTGCAATATTCTAGGCTCAAAGTGTCCCACTCTAATCAGCTAATTAAGCCATAACACCTGCAAAGGGTTCCTGAGCCTTTAAATGGTCTCTCAGTCTGGTTCAGTAGGAATCACAATTATGGGAAAGACTGCTGACCTGACAGTTGTGCAAAAAACCATCATTGACACCCTCCATAAGGAGGGAAAGCCTCAAAAGTTAATTGCAAAAGAAGTTGGATGTTCCCAAAGTGCTGTATCAAAGCACATTAATAGAAAGTTATGTGGAAGGGAAAAGTGTGGTAGAAAAGGTGCACAAGCAGCAGGGATGACTGCAGCCTGGAGAGGATTGTCAGGAAAAGGCCATTCAAAAGTGTTGGGGACTTTCACAAGGAGTGGACTGAGGTTGGAGTCAGTGCATCAAGAGCCACCACACACAGACGGATCCTAGGGGCTTCAAATTCATATTTCTCTTGTCAAGCCACTCCTGAACAACAAACATTAGAAGCGTCTTACCTGGGCTAAAGAAAAACAGACCTGGTCTGTTGTTCAGTGGTCCAAAGTCCTCTTTTCTGATGAGAGCAAAGTTTGCATCTCATTTGGAAACCAAGGACCCAGAAGATGGAGGAAGAATGGAGAGGCACACACTTCAAGATGCTTTAAGTCCAGTGTGAAGTTTCCACAGTCTGTGTTGATTTGGGGAGCCATGCCATTTGCTGGTGTTGGTCCACTGTGCTTCATTAAGTCCAGGGTCAACACAGCCGTCTACCAGGAGATTTTGGAGCACTTCATGCTTTTTCTTCCGCAGACGAGCTTTATGGGGATGCTGACTTCATTTTACAGCAGGACTTGGCACCTGCCCACACTGCCAAAAGCACCAAAACCTGGTTCAATGACCGTGGGATTACCGTGCTTGATTGGCCAGAAAACTCACCTGACCTGAACCCCATACAGATTCTATGGGGCATTGCCAAGAGAAATATGAGAGACATGAGACCGAACAATGCAGAAGAGCTGAAGGCCGCTATTGAAGCATCCTGGTCTTCCATAACACCTCAGCAGTGCCACAGGCTGATAGCTTCCATGCCACGTCGCATTGAGGCAGTAATTGCTGCAAAAGGGGCCCAAACCAAGTACTGAGTACATATGCATGCTTATACTTTTCAGAGGTCTGATATTGTTCTATGTACAATCCTTGTTTTATTGATTGCATGTAATATTCTAATTTTCTGAGATTGTGGATTTGGGGTTTTCATGAGCTGTAAGCCATAATCATCACAATTATGACAAATCACGGCTTTGAACTATCTTGCTTTGCATGGAATGAGTCTATCTCATATTTTAGTTTCACCTTATAGGGTGCATTACTGAAATAAATGAACTTTTGCACGATATTCTAATTTTTCGAGTTTCACCTGTAAATCATCAATGTAAAAAACACATAAACGGAAGCAACGGAAAAGTAGGCACTAGTTTAAAGGTTTTAACAAAAATGCAGCCTGTAAAAAAAAAAAAGACTGACAAGAAAAAGAAGCTGCGCACTGTTGACGTAACAGGGCTCAATAAGATTTATTTATACTGACAGTGCAACTTGTCCCTGCCGGGAGACCGCACCTGCATTGCTGCACACAACAAAGCACATACTTTGCATTGTGGTATGTTGCCCTACGCAGGTAGATCACCTCCTGACCATCCATGTGATTAGGACTACACATGATCCCTCACAGCTGAAAGCCTGGAGCTTTCATTGGAAGCCTATACTGCTTATTGCATTTAGACCCTGTCGCTGGGATGTGGCCAGCACTTCAGGAGCTACAGTGCAATCAATTGGCAGCCTGAACACTGGCAGCCTTTGCTTATGTTTCAATGCTTGTAACAAGAGCCATTTTTACCTGGTGCCCACCACTTAGCGGGCTTTACACATGGTAGTGCCAGACTCAGCCTGGGTTCACATACATGCGGTGCGGTAAATTGCATGTGATTCACACAGGAACCGCACCACATTCCTCTGCAAGTCACATGCGATTTGTGTGCGGTGCGATTAGAGCCATACATTTTGTATGGCTCTAATTACACAGCATCTGCACCAAAAACGCACAGGACCCTTTTTTTGGTTCAAACTAGAATCGGATCGCATGGATATTCACACTTATGCAATCCGATTCTGCAAATTGCACTGCGTTTTGCGGACTGCTTTCGGGGTGTTGTTAACTTAACATACACACCCGCAGCGGTTCGAATGAATGGAGTACGATTCTGATGCAGAATTCTCACTGAAAACACTGCGAGTTCCGCACCGCATCAGTGTGAACCAGGGCTGAATGTTGCACACCAGGGGTCTGTATAATTCCTGCAGTGGTAGAGTTGTCCAAAAAATCACCTGAGGTGATTGAGATTGAGGTGCTGCTAATTTTAGATCGACTTACTTAGGTACTTACTGGCTTACTGAACTTATGTTCAGATGTACTTAGCAAAGGATAACATACATTTTTGCCATTATGTAATGATAGAATATTTGCCTTATATAGACAAAGTGACAGAAAGGTAGTCTGCTTTCATTCCCTAGTCTGAGCCTCCAAGAGTTACACCTGGTTCACACTTAACCCACACACTGCCGACTGGTTGAGGGAATCGCATTGATTCCTGCACCCGCTGCCGAATTGTGCTGCTTTTGCAAGATTCATTCTTGCCATTCATTCTTAACCACTTGCCTACAGGGCACTTATACCCCCTTCCTGCCCAGGCCAGTTTTCAGCTTTCAGCGCTGTCGCACTTTGAATGACAATTGCACAGTCATGCAACACTGTACCCATATGACATTTTTATCATTTTTTTTAGATAGAGCATTCTTTTGGTGGTATTTAATCAGCTCTGGGTTTTTTATTTTTGCCAAACAAACCAAAAACAGCAAAAAGTTGAAAAAAAAAAGTTTTTTCTTAGTTTTTGTTAGAAAATTTTGTAAATAAGTGATTATTCTCCTTCACTGATGTGCGCTAATGAGACTGCAGTGATGGGCACTGATAGGCTGCACTGATGGGCACTGATAGGCGGCGCTTATGGGCACTGATGAGGAGGCACTAGTAGGTAGCACTGATGTGCATTGACAGGCATCACTGATGGGCACTGAAAAGCAGCACTCATATATGGCACTGTTAGGCGGCACTGACTGGCACTGTTAGGCGGCACTGACTGACACTGGTAGGCAGCACTGACGGGCACTGATAGGCGGCACTGATAGGCAGCACTGACTGGCACTGATAGGCAGCACTGACTGGCACTGATAGGTGGCACTGATTGTCAGCATTGATAGGTGGCACTGACTGGCATTGATAGGTGGCACTAACTGGCACTGATAGGTGGCACTGATTGTCAGCATTGATAGGTGGCACTGACTGGCATTGATAGGTGGTACTGACTGGCACTGATAGCTGACACTGAAAGGCAGCTCAGATGGGCACTGATATGTGGCATTGATGTTCACTGGTAGGCACTGATATGTGGCATTGAAGAGGCACTGATGGGCACTGGCAGGTGACATTGATGGGCACTGACAGGTGGCACTGCTGGGGCTACACTGATCATCAGGGCGCACAGATCATCAGTGCCCTGATGATCAGTGTAGATGTCCGCTCTGAGGAATGCCGATTACCGGCTCTCCTCTCCTCTTGAGCTGTCAGCGTGACAGCTCGTGTGGAGAGAAATGCCGATAACCGGCATTTCCCTATTTACATGTGATCAGCTGTGATTGGACACAGCTGATCACATGACTGAGCCAACATCTTATGTTCTTTCCATTGATGGTGATCCGCTGTGTCCGAGGGACACAGTGCACCACTGATCACCGCGCTGAGCACCCCCGGAGCCACGCATGCGCAGTTAGAGTGGGAGGACGTCATATGATGTCCTTCCAGAACGAGAGAACCGCCTTGCGCCCGTCATTACCTTATATGGCGCGCAGGAGGCGGTTAATGTCACCCCCATGCCCGTAGCACGAGCACAGGTGCGGGAACAGCAGGGAAAATGTATGGTCAAAAAGACAATGTGATTTCCTTGCGACCGCGTTTTAATAAAAGTGTATGCACCTTTTTTCTGCCTAAGAAAACTAGTGTGAACTGAGCTTAATAGTTACTGTCTGTCTGCAATGGGCAAATCTCTTATGTACAGTACTGCCACCTAAAGCCCAACTCTAGCTGAAGAATTTGGTTTTGGATGGGGAAACATTCGTGCCTGTAGGGTTGATTTATTAAAACTGAAGAGTGCAGAATCTAGTGCAGCTGTGCATGGCAGCCAATCAGCTTCTAACTTCAGCTTGTTCAATTAAGTTTTGACAGTAAAACCTGGAAGCTGATTGGTTTCTATGCAGAGCTGCACCAGATTTTGCACTCTCCAGTATAAGTAAATCAAACTCTATGTCTGTTTTTATCATTGTCTGTGTCTATAATAGCGATATGTTCCCTCATATTTTCTATTTGGACAGGATGTTGTGGGAAAGCTTTCCAATGGGGACACAAATTTTTTTTTAAAATATTAATATTTAAAAAAAAAAAAATATATATATATATATATTAAAAGTGGTAAGGGTATAAGCTTTTAGCAATATTTGTATTGCTGCCTGTGCCTGAGAACTGCCCCCTTCATATTTTTGTCTTAAAATGTTACTAAACCCAGGGTGCTGCATTCACTATATCTGGTCTCCCACAGTACACAGAACATGGAAATGCAATTATTTTAATAAATATAAACTGCTAAATACATTTTCTCATCTGCAGTTAGAGCAGTCTTCAGCAGAGCACTGGTTAAAGCTTGCGGGAAGAGTTTTCTTTCTGCTGTAGGAGGATGTGAAACCTCTGATCCTCTGTCTGGACAGTGCTGATTGGCCCTGTGCTGATCACATGCACCCTCCCAAGAAGAAAAAAAAAAAACCTCTCTAGCAATACACACCAAACTAAGCGTGTGCATGTGACCAGGGTTCAGTCTGTAACAAGTGGTCATTTCAACAAGAGGAGAGGCAGAGAAGAAAGGATCTAATAGCCTTTTTACACATTGCAGAGGATTAACCCCTTAGGTTCCACAGTGAGTATAACAAGCATGCTTTACTGCATATACAGACTGATTTTACTGTTGTGGGTTTAGTAACACTTTGATATTAACAACCAAAAAAACTTCTCACTTTTTAACAAGGTTAAAAAAAAAGCTTGGACTTAAGCTTTCAAATAAACCTACCTACGGATCACATACATGAACAGAGTTGCCAGCATGTACCTTGAAAAGCATTGTGAGAACTCTAAAACTCTGATGCCTTATTATGCAAATTCTGACCTTTCCTGAGGACAGGTTTATTTTATAAACTACTTGTGCACAGGAAGAGAAATTCTATATCTGGACACCCTTCCCGCTAAGATTTCACACATTTGCAGTTGCGCCAAATGCGCCTATATTTATATAACACTACAGCAATTCTGCTAAGACTCACACCTTTTAGATCAAGAGGTGAAAAGAAATGATTAAAAGAAACTGTTCACAACCAGAATGTTCCCTAGGATTTTTTTTTTCTTATTTCATTTATTTTATTTGGATTTTCAACAGTTTACCAAATACAGTTTACCAAAAACAGTTTAACAAGTACAGTATCTGCAATACATAGAGATAAGGGTTACGTTCCATGGATCCAACATGCTCACACATCACTCTCTGAGAGTCTAACCATCCTATATAAACAAACATCCTTAGAAGGGAATTTTGGAGCTTCCAGGACCTCCTCTGTACATCCATGCTCCACTATTATTCTACACCCCAAAATACCCCAGTCTCCCTTCCTTTTCTTAGAGAATATTTATGATGGGAACACACTTTGCCCTAACACAATGTTATCTCTGTCTACCTCGTGCTATCAAAAATATATTAAGAGAATCAAACCAGTTCTAACTTTGGGTTTCCAAAATATGTTAATGAAAACAACTGAAATGAGAAAAGGGTTACATTACAAAAAGGAAAGTCAACACCAGGGGTGGACTGACAACTCATGGGGCGCAATAGGCGATCATGGGGCCCCTGTGTCCTTGCCAAAACTCAGAAAAGCCTATGAAAAAGGTACCAGGGGCATCTCATGGGGCCCCCTACTGACCCCAGGCCCTTGGGCAGTGCCCGAGTTTCCAAATGGTCAGTCCGCCCCTGGTCAACACAGTTTAACAGTAAAATAGTGAACATGACTAGCAAAGTCTGTAAATAATGAAGAGTTCACGAAAGTCAAATGGTTTTGTGGGATATCTAAATAAAAAAGACCTTCAGTCAATGATTAATACACTGACAGTTTGAAACCGTTAACTGGGCTATCAAAGAAGTACATTCAGTAATTTTTAGGTTTATAGACATAACAGTAGATAGAAATAAGGAAAGGGAGCAAAATTGTTGAGGAAGGTTATAGAAGGAATGCGGTAAAGAGAAGAAGGGAATAGGGTTACGGGGACGGAAGAAGTGGAAGAGCTCTAATAGAGAGAGTCTGCCCTTGAAATTGGTCAGTGGCGATGTACGCTAGAGACAACAACTGCATGCTTTCTAACAGGGTGTTCTCCATGGATTTCTCCAGTGCACATATCATTGAGCAGGTCTCTTCTTGGAGGTTATGAGCAAGTTTGCAGGGAATGTTTGTGAATACAAGTTTTTACTATTTTTATTAAAGGTTTTACAAAGGTGTCACGCAATACTTTTGCACTTTGTTTGTAATAAAGTGTTTATAAAGATTACCAGTCTGAAAGAAGCAGCAAAGTCATTGATACTGTGTATTTATCTAGAAAAAATGTATTCCAAAGTTTCCTTGCAGCAAGATTATATCCATTTTTCCACTTGAGCGCTGTTTGTATCTAATCGTGAAAAAGGACCCCTGAGCCCTGACTTTTGTATGACTTTCCTGAATGACATACTTGGCAGGCAGTCAGTAGCTCAGAAAGTATTGAAACCAGTAGGTCAGGATAACAGTCATGCGTCTACAAGAACTTTGGAGCTATTACCTGAAGGCCTTTCAGCAGGGAGGATCACTTATAAGAAATCTAATTTATTATTTTGTGCACACCAGAGTAAGTTGTGAGTATTCCTGGCAGGCTTACTTGTGTTGCTAATGGTTGTTAGAAACACCCTTTCGCATATACAGTATAAAATATATGTAAGCTTTTTTTTTTCTTTTCTTTTTTTAAGAATATACAAGGGGCTGGCGCAGCAGCATCTATGTGCTTTTAGAAGCAGACGGTAGGCTGGTTCTTATTTGTACATACATAGTTGTGGTGGAGATTGTTTAAGGATGGGGTGATCTTGACTGTTAGGGGCTGACAGTTTATAAGGCTTTATGGCTCTATGTAGCTGTTCAGGAGGGTCCATTCTGGCTGGAAGTTTATTGCTGTTCAAGTGGGTGGGGTGCTGTCTGTTCTGTTTGACATTGACACGTGGTGTGCACAATTATTAGGCAAGTGAGTTTTTTTTTACCATATCATCTTTTTTATGCATATTGTCCAACTCCAGGCTGTATAAATGTGAATGCTTATTGGATTTAAGCATATCAGGGGATGTATATTTGTGTAATGAGGGAGGGTGTGCCTTAAGGAGATCACCCTATATCATGGTGTGCATAATTATTAGGCAGCTTCTTTTCCTCAGGCAAAAATGGATAAAGAAGATAATTAACTAACTCTGAAAAGTAAAAAATTGTAAAAATTCTTTCAGAGGGATGCAGCACTCCTGAAATTGCTAAGATATTGGGGCGTGATGACAAAACCATCAAACGATTTGTTGCAAATAGTCAACAGGGTTGCAAGAAACGAGTTGAGAAAAAGAAGATGCAAATGAATTGCCAAAGATTTGAGAAGAATCAAAACGTGAAACTACCAGGAACCCATTATCCTCCAGTGCTGTCATATTCCAGAACTGCAGCCTACCTGGAGTGCCCAGAAGTACAAAGTGTTCAGTGCTCAGAGACATGGCCAAGGTAAGGAAGGCTGAAATCCGACCACCACTGAACAAGACACTTAGGTTGAAACTTCAAGACTGGGCCAAGGAATATCTGAAGACAGATTTTTCAAAGGTTTTATGGACTGATGAGATGAGAGTGACTCTTGACGAATCAAATGGATGGGCCTGTGGCTGGATCAGTAACTGGCACAGAGCTCTACTTCGACCCAGATGCCAGCAAGGTAGAGGTGGGTTTGTGGTATGGACAGGTATTATTACAGTAATAATGCATAAAAAGGATGATTTTGTAAAAAAACTAACTTGACTAATAATTGTGCACAGAGTGTATAGCATATCACTGAAAAGTCAATTAGTATCTGGCAATGGCACTTAAACACATAGATCTTTTGCTGCTGCACAAAATGCCATTGTTAATGTACGGGGCACTTTAAAGTGTCCTGTATAAACTGTAGCAATACTACTACATTTCATACAGTAAAAAGCTCACACAAAATATCACCTCTTTCTATGATATTTTATTAATATTGAAAGAAATATGAAAAAAAAGATATAAGCTAAAAACCGGTTGCACACAACAACTGGCGGGTAAGAAGAGTTCTTTTTATACAGAAGAAGCAGTTTCCATGGTAACCTCAGGTGTATTTTTATGAGTCACTATATTTATAAAAATCTAATTCACTGTATCCAGTCTGTTTCATTTCTTCCTCCTCCTCGGCTTCTGGAGTACAGCTCAAGACTTGATTTCTTTTTTTTTTAACAATACCATGGAGCCACACAAATCATACACAACT